CAGAGAGGAGTAAAGGCTCGATAGGATACTGACACAGAGAGAGTAAAGGCTCGATAGGATACTCACACAGAGAGGACTAAAGGCTCGATAGGATACTGACACAGAGTGAGTAAAGGCTCGATAGGATACTGACTCTGAGAGGAGTAAAGGCTTGAGAGGATACTCACACAGAGCGGAAATTCTAAAATATTGTCATCTTGCGTCACCCTAAAGGAATGTATCCAAACAAGTCAGAAAAACTCCAAATGCTAAACCGAGTGTAAATACACTGTTCATTATAATATTGTTATAGGAAGTTTACAAATTGCCACCATTGTTTCACATCAGACCTTTTGCATAGGTTTTATACAAAATGTAGGACATTGCAAAATTTCATAAGAGCGAGATGATACATAAAGAGTGAACAAAACAATCAGACGATTCATTTCCCTTTAAAAGAGTCTCTTTCATCATTGCCTCCGTGTCAGAATAAATCAGCTGGCTTCTAAACTTAGACTTCCTGCAGAGTGACTGCTTGTGGGATCGCTTGCTTGCACACATCTGTAACTTCCTCTGAACTTTAATCATTTCACATTTGCATTAACTTATTTAGCACACACTATTCAATTACACACACGTTACGCTGCTTGGTATGTCTGTCGACACACAGTATAAAAGGCCTCAGCGCCTGTCTGCTCATTCCTGAGCTCCCGTCAGGAAAGTCAGGAGCAGCGCTGGTCCTTCACGCAGGACTAAACGTGACAAGGCCTGGCTCAGGCTCAGAGCCTTACTCTTACAGGAACGTCTGAAAGTTAATAATGCTGACAGACGATCAGTGAGATCAGTATTGAAACGGCTCTCACGACTAACAGCTTACTTTCACATTAATGTTACTAAGTGAATGCAGTGTGACAGGGCATTCGTTCAAGCAGTTTGGCTCAGTTGGACGTTGCCATTGCTACTAATGGCAGCAATCTACAGATTGTATTACTCTTTTTCATGCTGTTATATCAGTCTGCTCTATCTTCTCCTGATTCTACTCATTCGGCCATATTAGCTTCTCTTCTTCCATGTCACTGTTTTTTATTAAGAGTCATGAAGCATTCAGAAGAATAAAATGATTTCTTATGGTATTCTGGTTAGACTAACACCAATCTATTGGGTATATTACCTCATGAGCACCTTATACTAGTATTTGCACTTCTGGATAGATGCAAAGCAGCATTTGGTTGTACTTGAACTTGCAATGACAATAAAGTTGAATCTCAATTTCAATCTCTTCCCGTGAATCTGTGTTCCTCAATGTTGGCTAAGGACATTCTGCTTGTCACACACACTGAATTTTAACAAAGCAATTTATCGTGCATATTTCTCTCCCAAGTTCTCTACAACTTAATTTGCATGAAAATCGATTCATTCTGTTTCAAACCTACGTGGCTCCATCATCATAGATCAATTTGACTGCGAGGTGAAATAGAGAGAATATAAAATGGCCATGTATCAACCTTGCAACGTAAACATGTTATAAAACAGTTCATAAGAAGAACACTTCTGTTGTTAAACAGAAGTTGCTCTGCCCATATACAATCACTAAATTTAAAATCTCAGTGAAATTACATTAGCATGCAGTGATGCTTAAAGCAGGATTATAGACACCCTGGGGATTGTGCTGAGCGCTGCCCGTCCTGCTGCCTATTAAAAAGTAATTATTCTGCCTTAAATTTCAATGGAATCCGGCACAATGCAGGCAGATCCTGCTCCAGCGCAGCTTCCTGTTTGTCTTCAGCTCTGCTGACTCCACCTTCTGGCTTCTGACATAAAAGCTCATTCAGTTCCCGCCTTCGCTGGGCTCTAACCAGCGATTTCCAGAGGATAACACAAGCTTCCTGTCTTAAGCAGATGGAAAAAGTGAAGTGACAGTGCATCATTCTACCAAGAGCTGTTAAAAGCAGCATGGTCAATCTATAATTAGGGCTACGTTTGGCATTTGTAGATTGGATGAAAAAAGCTATTATTTTATCCCAAAATGCATATTCATTCTTACATGGCAGCCCTAAATTTTTTTTGCTATTTGCTAATCTTAAGAGATGGGAATTTTTGGAGACTAATTCAAAAAACAGAGACACTGGATGCTATATTTGTCGACTGTGTTATGGGCAAAATCAGGCTTCGAACATTTGAACCTATGTTAAAAGTTACAGCGGCAGTGTTTGGTTCTGCCCCTGTGCCTCGATTCTGGAGGTTGTTGGTCGGAGCCCAGCTTTGGCAGGATGGTCACATGTCCATGGGCCCTTGAGCAGAGTCCTTAACCCCCAGCTCCCTGATGCTGCCTGGTCGTTGCCCTTCGCTGTGACTCCACCTGTATTTTCATGGAGAGCAAGAAGTAAAAGAATTTCCCCATGGGGATCAATAAAGTATCACTATTCTATTCTATTGAAATACTCAACATTTCTAATTAGTGATGTGTCTGTTTATCCACAGGAATGATTTTAAATATGAAGTAATTAGAAAATAAAACTTACAGTGATTATCTTTCTCTTGTTTCAGTGATAGCATTCAATGGTCTTCACATTTTGTCAGTTAAATATATTATTCGCGCGTAGATCTGAAGAATGTTTTTTGGCTAATGTGTTATTATTCCTGAAACTTTTCAACTATAGATTTATTGTTCAGGAGGCAGTAATATATTTGTTTTATATTGAAACTCATCAGTAACATAGTTTATGGTGCGGAAACATAATTGACACAAGTTGACAGAACATCAAAAACCAGAAAAGTGTGTATGAGCATGGCCTGAGATTTTTTTTTTTTAATAATATTTAATAATTTATTCAGAGTACAGTAATTGATTAATTTATTTCACAAAATAAGGATATTACACTTTATTGTTACAGTACTGTTGGTTTTGAAAGGATATGATTCTATGGTTTGTTAAGACAGGAATGAATTATGTCGAAGTACCATCTGGGTGGGAACAAAGAGATGGACCCGAGGGTCCAAGAATAAGCTCCGCCTCCACATTAGTGCTCCAGCCAACCATAATCGCTATGGATACTGCATTTTTAACCAATAATAGGTATAACTGTTACAAAACTGGAACCAGCACTAATGGCCATTTCTCAATAGGTCAGCACATTTAGCTGTTCTTCAGTAACAACGTCCTCCCCCCCCCCCCCTTTTGTTAGAGGATGTAATTTCTGCTTGAAAGCATGGAGGGAGCTAAAGGTCAGGTCAGCTAGTGACACTTTATAAATATGTGGTATGTTTACCTGGTAATGACACGGATACTGAGCACTAATGAAGGTGCCATGTGACACACAGCATTAATATTCATGAGGCTGTTAGACAGCTGATTGGTCGGATAATGAACGGGGGGGGGGGGAACTCCCAGGATGCTGTGATTCTCTTGCAGAGAACGAACAGATTGTTGGTCTCCCCTCCCCCGCAAACACCTTTGACATCCCCCCACCACTCCCAGCATGCATCTTTGTTAATGAGGGTATCAGCTGGCCTTTGTGTCCCCAGTTTCACAGGTTGACAGGCTTATCTTTCCCTTTAACCCAGCTCACACGCCCCTGCCGCAGCCTGTGTCAGACCCCTATGGCGGCCATCTGCCTGTGAGCCCTCACACGCGTGTGTGTGTTTTAAGATAGATGAACCTGAACTGAATTATACATGTGGTTACATTTATGTGGTGATTCTCAACAGATACCACATTATTATATGAAATACATAAGTAGCTGTATTTTAAGTTCATGCAACAGTGTGGCTATACTACAACCTCATCATCCTTTCTGCATTCCTACAGAACTTCCTAAAGACTATGTTAGACTATTCTTCTAAACTGCGTATCAATTTTAATTAAATGAGGAATCTGGCAGTCACAAAATCAGACTTCGTCAAATGCATTTGTTATGGTAAACAGCTAAAGAGCGATAGTGGTAAAAACAGATTGGTCCATTAAACCAAAATGAAGACTGTGAGCCTTAATCAGGCTGCGAGTTGAATTTAAAAATGAAATATATTTTCATAGCTTGCCACATTTCTTGCAAACAACAGCTCTTCATGAAATCTGGAAAGCAAAATTCAAAGGAACATGTTCTGCATTATAAACATGACACTGCTTGAACCCGCCCCTTCACCGGGATTGGTTGAATCTGTTGGACCTCAACAACTTATTGGTTGGCCCCTTTTGAATGAAGGGGCTGGGGAAGTAAAGCCGAGGTTGTATGTGAGTCTGAGTTAGGACCTTTGAAGAGGGTTAGGGGGTCTGAGCAGATGGCCCGGAGATCTCCTGGGTGTGGTGTTGTGCTCCATAGCAGAACGGACCTGCACACCAAAACACCAAAGACCCAATTTTCCATGGTGCAAAGAAAATGTGCATCACTTCATTCCATTTTCCTGATAATTAAACGAGAGGAAACAAACATCCATGCAGTATCCAGGCACGACGCCTAATGTGAGGTGCTCCCCGGTCGCCGTGGAAACGTTGCTCTTGCCTCTCTCGCTGTGAGTGGCATTGACATAATCAGGATGCAAATTCACACTCTGTCTGACACAATGTTCCTGAGAGTAATACCAGTGAAAAGGTTTATCAAATTTCTGGGTAACTGGCATCCTGTGCTGGGTGTCCCCCAGCCTTGTGGCCTGTGCTGTCTGGGATACACTCTGGGTCTCCGATGACCCCGAGCAGGACGTGCAGTTAGAAGATGGATGGATCTGTGGACAGGACCTGTGGAAGTATCTGGGTTGTTCCATACACTCCACTTGTCCTCTACTACATCCTTTAAAAAGTGGAATATTCATGTTTCTCTGATTTGGACATTTAATATGTACATCTCTCCTTATAAAAAAAGAGACCAAAATTATATAATATGTTGAGTTGCTGTGTAGATGAAATCATTATTTATTAAACTACATTTATGTGGCAGTTAAATCGCACGCACCCCCGGTACACATGCTTTTCCTCCCTTGCCTATAGCGCCCTCTGCAGACATATAGTGAAACTGTAGATTCAGACATAGGGGTGTGGGGAATGTTCGTACCCCAGCCGTCCGGAGCCACTTATTATTTGTGCTGGACTGTCTGTTTCAGCAGCGCATCCTCCTCTGTCGACTCTGTGTAATTTCAGTACGAAGAGTACGAACTTCCTTTAGAGTCCGTGCGTTTTTCACTCCGTCTCAGCGGAAGTTGCCTGAAGTTGGGGGCGGGGGTGCGATATGGGATGAGAGAAAGTGCGGAGGAGCTCGGGGGGAGCCGCAGACCCAGAGCCTGGACCGCGTCGCGCGCTTCACGCCGGGCGGGAGGAAGCGGAGCCCGGTCGGCTGGCTCATCGGGACGGAGGGAGCCGAGATGCCAGATAGGGCGCCTTTAAAAGATGCATACAAGCGTCGGCACATGGATCTCGGATCACGGACGCAAGCTGGATATTCTAAATACAATCACCCTGGATCATGCATTTCCAAGCTTTCGGAAAACGGTGGATATAAAGCTTGCGCTCACAGCCCTTTTTATGGTTTAATAGCCTGCGTCCTTTTCCGAGCGTAAGTCCAGCGGCTTTTGTGACTCTCTACCTCCGCTCCGTAAATCATGTCCCCCGGTGCAGGCTGTGTGTTAAGGCTGTACCAGCAACAACTAAAAGGGGATCCGGACGCTATAAGTAAATGTTATTTGTAGTTTTAATAAAATAAAGCTTGATTATGCTTTAGATACGCGTGTTTTGGGATGAGGTGAAATACAGCACGGGTTAAGAAAAACTTCACTTGGATACGTTTTGAATGACTTCTAAAGAAAACTGTAGAGAAAAGGGAGAAAATTAAAAGGAAAAAAAAATCTGTTTTTTGGATCATGGCTGTAGAGTGCATGGGGCGGGCTGTGGTTTTATTGCCATTCCTGGCACTGGGGGCTGCCTTCTCAGGTGTTTTTAATGGGACAGACAAAGATGTTTTTAATGATGATTTTGAGCAGTTCAGGCTCAAAGCGATTGGTGCCACAGAACAGTGGAAGCTCGTGGCAGACGACCTCCACCCCAGCTTGTACTTTGACTGGGCGGATGTACAGTTACTCCGGCAGCGCTCCACCACCACCCACAGCCACATTTTTAGAGTGATTCGCTCAGCGGTCATCACCATGCTGTCTAACCCTGCCCTGTACCTGCCCCCGGTTAAGCACAAGGAGTTCACCAGCAAGTGGAACGAGATCTACGGGAACAATCTGGCTCCACTGGCGCTGTACTGCCTGCTTTGCCCAGAGGATGGCGCCGCCCAGCAGTTCCTGCTCAAGTTTATGGACAGGATGGCCGAGTACCCAGACTGGAGTGTGACAAGCGCTCCAAATGATGAGGTCCCGGTCGCGCACTCCCTCACGGGCTTTGCCACAGCCTATGACTTCATATACTCCACCTTGGACAGGCAGCGACGGGAGCTTTACTTGAAGAAGATCCGTAGTGTGACTGAGGAGCTCTATGAACTGTCCAAGTACAGGGGCTGGGGGAAGCAGTTCCTACAGAATCATCAGACCACTAATATTTTAGCCGTCCTGATTGGCTCTATTGTGGCTGGCGAGCACCACGACCCAGAGACCATGATTTGGAAGCAGGTCTGTGTGAATTACATGGAGAAGACCATGTTCCTTCTGAACCATGTTGTGGATGGGTCCCTGGATGAAGGTGTGGCCTATGGAAGCTATACTGCTAAGTCCATCACGCAGTATGTGTTCCTGGCACAGCGCCACTTCAACATCGACAACACTCAGAACAATTGGCTCCGTGCACACTACTGGTTCTACTATGCCACCCTACTGCCAGGCTTTCAGAGGACAGTGGGCATTGCAGATTCTAACTACAACTGGTTCTATGGGCCAGAGAGCCAGCTGGTGTTCTTGGATGCTTTTGTGTTGCGCAACGGCACTGGGAACTGGCTTGCCCAACAGATCAGAAAACATCGGCCTAAAGACGGACCCATGGGTCAGTCGTCAGCCCAGCGCTGGACTACGCTGCACACAGAGTATATCTGGTACGACGCTCACCTTACCCCGAGAGCGCCCCCTGGCTTTGGAAAAGCCGCAATGCACATTTTCTCCAACTGGGGTGTGGTGACATATGGTGCCGGCATGCCTGACCTGCAGGGCAACACGTTTGTCTCCTTCAAATCCGGGAGGCTAGGTGGCAGGGCGGTGTATGACATTGTCCATGCCAAGCCCTACTCCTGGGTTGAGGGTTGGAATAACTTCAACCCTGGGCATGAGCACCCAGACCAAAACTCCTTTACTTTTGCTCCAAATGGCCAAGTATTTGTGTCCGAGGCTCTGTATGGACCCAAATACAGTTACCTGAACAATGTGCTTGTTTTCGCACCCTCCCCGACGAGCCAGTGCAATGAACCTTGGGAGGGGCAGTTGGGTGAGTGTGCCAAGTGGCTCCGCTGGGCAGATGACGAAGTGGGTGACATGGCTGGTGAGGTCATAGCCGCCTCAGCGCACCAGGATGCCATGTTTGTGAGTGGGGAGGCGGTGTCGGCGTACTCCTCGGCTATGAAGCTCAAAAGTGTGTACCGGGCCCTCATTCTGCTCAACTCGCAGACCTTACTGGTGGTGGACCATGTGGAGAAGTGGGAAGACTCTCCTCTGAATATGCTGAGTGCCTTTTTTCACAACCTGGACATAGATTTCAAGTACGTCCCTCATAGATTCAACGACAGGTTGAACGGGGCCCTGATGGATGTGTGGGACGCTCATTATAAAATGTTTTGGTTGGACAGTCAGGGTGCCAGTCCAGCTGGAAGGATACAGGAAGCCGAGCAGGCGGCGGAATTTAAGAAACGATGGACGCAGTTTGTGAATGTGACGTTCCCCATGAGCGGTGCAGTCACTAGAATTGCGTACGTGATGTATGGTCCGTACGTCAAAGTTACGAACTGCAGGTTTATTGACAACAGCAAAAATGGCCTGACGCTGTCTCTGACAGTTAACGACACAGAGAACATAGTATCCATCGCAACAAACTATAAAGATTTAAGTGCCAGGTTGAACTACTTAGGTTTTGGGGGTTATGCAAAGGCAGAGGATGGAAAGCGTGTCATCCGTTTTGGTGTGGGAACTCAGCTCGTAGCTAAACAGAGCAGGGTGGATCATGCAGTGTTTAGCATTGGCTTTATAGTTACTGTCGTTGTGGGAGTGACACTGTGTGTCGCCATTGGGTTTTTGGCTTTGCAGAGAAAGTTTTATATCTGTTTCAGCAAGCTGATGCGATACACCCTGCTGTCGGTGCTCCTGCTGTGGGTTATCGAGCTTCTCTTTGTTTCTAATACTTGTGATCAGCTCCTCTGCGGTGTCAGATGGAAAGGTGTCTCCGGATCAGGCCCACCGGGGAGACTCGCAGGCCAGCAGCTGCTTCTGCCCACTGTCGTCATAACAACGCTGCCGGGCTCTGGGGCAGAAATCCTTAAGTATCTTTTTTACAACAGCTCCGACTTCTTCTACATCAGCGTCCCCACAGAGCACGTTGACATCCCAGAGAGCGAGTTCGAATTTGACTCCCTGGTGGACGCCTGTGAGTGGTCAGGGTCTGATGCTCAGGATGGACAGTTTAAGGTTCTCCAGGGCTGGTTCCACTCGCTGGTCCACAGCACCAAGCTGCATCTTCAAAACATCCAGCTGCATGAGGTGAGTGGCCGGTTTGCTCAGGCAAGTGGGTTCTCTAAATACAGGAGGAAGAGAGTGAGCAGGAAGGACTCGCCCGCAGGATTCAGGGCTCTGGAGAAGGATGCAGAATACATCCGGGAGCTGTGGCAGCACGTGGGCCGTTATCCGAGCGCCCGTGCTGTCCTCAACCTGAAGAGTGGAAGCTGGTCCCTGAAGTTGCCCTTCGTCCATGAGGTGATTGGGCCATCACTGCGGGTTATATACGTGGTGAGGGACCCACGAGCCTGGATTTATCTCATGCTCTATAACAGCAAGCCCAGCCTGTACACACTCAAGAACATCCCGCAGCACCTTAGCCTCGTTTTCCGTGATGATCATGGCGGGGAGAGGTGCACGGGCTTCGCCCCGGAGTTCCGGCTCCTGTGGGAGCTTGTCTCCCGCTCGGAGAGCGACCCTGTCCTGCTGCTGGCTCACCTTTGGCTGGCCCACACGGCCGCCACGCTCAGGGTCGTCGGCGGCCTGCCCACCGACGCTCACCTACAGGTCAGGTTCGAGGACATCGTGCAGTTCCCCGAGGAGACGGCGGGCAGGATACACACTTTCCTGGAGGTGCCCGTCGCTCCGGCAGCCATAAACCAGCTCATGTTCACCACCTCCACAAATCTGTTCAGCCTGATGTATGAGGGAGATGTATCTCCAGGCAGCATCAGCATGTGGAGGCAGAAGATGCCTCGCGATGACATCCGCCGTATAGACAGTATATGCTGGGTGGTGATGAAGAGCTTGGGATATGCCCGGTTCACAGATTAATGCTGCAGGTCAGCAGAGCTTCACTCACTCTTTTGCACTAACGGGGGATTCTGTTGAATTTGTACTCAAGTGTATCCGTGGCCCTATTTCTAAGGAGTCATGGGGGCTCAGTCAGAAGCTTAGGTTGCTAGTTGGTTATGTTCTTTGTGCGCTTTGTGGCTTGCACAGATTAAGAAATGTTTTATATTAAAATGTCAAACAGTCTTTACGTAATATCTTCCTGGCCACAATGCCGCCTAAACATCCATTTCAGTGTGATGTCTAGCAGTTACTAGTAAGTCCTACACCTGTTGTCAATATACATTCCAGCTGTGTTTTTCGGATCTTCTGTACGCCCCCAGACAGTAATCATCAAAGTAAAGGTGTATTTTCTTATAGTCTCTGCTCATTCTTATTTGTTTTTATACCATATATTTTTGGGAAAAGATGTATGTGGTGAAACAAAAAATATTGAAATGTTTACTGAAGCTTGAATCTGTTAAGTCCGGCTGTGTTTCTTTTGGCTTGTTGTTTATTTGATCTATTTGGTTCTGATCTGTGTTTCGGGTCTCGGTGATTATGCCTGCAGTGTGGCTTTCCTGCCCACCCCAAAGCCACACAGAACCAGAGCTGCTGTTACTTGCCTGCTCCGCCGAGTCTGTCCCGGGATCTGAAGTATAATTCCTGATTTCGCACTGTTTGTGTCTGCTAGCTTGACAGTGATGAGGTACGAGTATATTTCACGTTGTTGTAAATTTTACCCTAGTTTTTCGTTCTTTTTCTTTTAATCAAATCCCTCTTTAGGTACAAATGAACTGTGCTTTTTACCTTGATTAAAATTACAGGCTCTAAGATGCATGGTAAAATTTCATATATATACTGTGTGGGATCTTCGATGTGAATGATGCTCCAGTAGATTTAAGATAATGGAGATACTCTTCAAAAGTTCATTTGCTGGCAATATGGGGCTTAAGGGATACCTGCGAAGCTCCTTTATATCTGAGCCGGTCCTCTCTGACTCTAACTGTAGTTAGTTTAGTTCCGTATTGCAGTAAGAGCTTTTGTAGATGTAGCTGTGTCTGCACTTGTGTTCTCTGTAAAACCTGCCAGTCATGTGAGGCTGTCCAGTACACAGTGAGCTCTGCACCAACTCACGCCACGCTTTCCCACCCCCTGTCTTACCTCCCCGCCCCCACCATGTGTTGTTTCTTCACTGTAAAAGTAACCAAATCTGGGGGACATACTGCCTTATTTCACGTCTGCCTCGCTCATGTCCGGAGCCGCCGAGAGGCCGCAGGGGGATGGACAACCCAGGAGCTGAGACCTCACTGCTCTGGAATGTTCTTCTGCTCCTTCTTTCCGATAGTGGAGGCCCATCTTTCGGTGTTCCATCCAGGGATGTTCATCGAGGTGCCCGATCAATGGAGCTGATGTCATTCTGCTCCCAGGTGGTCAGGCTTCTGTGCTGTGGAGTGAAGTCTCTCTCTCTCTCTCTCTCTCTCTCTCTCTCTCTCTCCTTTTAAACATGGGAAAATCTGATGTTGTGAGTGAAAGACAATAAAATAATGTATACATTTACTGAAAAGATTTTATTGACCATGGAATTATTTTATATGTATGCTCCTTTAAACATTTTGTGTTATGCTTAAAGATACTGAACATATTTTTGACCATCTAATTTTTACTTGATGGAAAGATTTGTCTGGAACATGCCACCTCATCAGGGAAGCAAGTTTGGGTTTTGCTGGAATTTGGTCAAATATGAATGTCTGTTTCCTGGTGGAATAGAGCCTCCTCAGAGGTTGTTTTATGGGTTAGCATCTGTGGGGCTGTTGGCCGGTCAGGGGTCATGCCTGGGGGGTGGGGCTGTGGGGAGGGGGACAGAGCCCCCCCGCTGTGGTCTCCGAGGCCTGTGTGGGAAATCATACATTTTAATCATACAGTATTACCAATATGTAATTACCCTACTTTTACATGTTTTTCACCTTGTCCTACCCCCTTACTTATATTCATTGTTCTTCACACCATGTGACCTTCAACATAGACTAATTGATTGATTTTCTTATGGCACCATCTGGTTTGTTAGGTCTAAGCAAGACAGGGTATTCTGGAAAAACACTGGAATGTGCCCTTGGCTTTGGAGCTTAAGAACGCCTTGGGTAATATCTCACTGCACTCACACCTGTCAGATGGCGGGGGGGCGCGCGGTGTTCGCCTGGAGGTGGAAGGACACGCCCCCTCGTTAAATCGGCGGAGGGGTACGTGTGAGCTATCAGGTGTGTGACGAGCTTGTGCTCTGTTATCTACTGTTTGGCAGGGGCTGATGGGAAAATGCAGCCCCCCCCCGTCAAGGAGCATCAGCTGGACGCAGATGTGGAATGTGAGATGCCGGCTTCTGCTGTATCTTACGGTGCAGTGGGAGATGTCAGCCGGCTTTTAATTTTAGCGTTTACTGAGACAAATTTATGCGGGAAGAAACCACATTTGACAACTGATGTGCTATGATGGATTTTTTTATCTTGGAAATTGCCAAAAAGTTTTTTATAGATCAGTAGGGCAGGAACCAATATAGTCCTTTAATTTAATTAGACATGAAGTTCAACTGATTTAAAATCCATGCGTCCATAATCTTCTAACTGTTTACCCTAGTCAGGTTCATGGGGGGGGCTGGAGCCTATCCCAGGCAGCACAGGACATGAGGCCTGAGGTACAGGCTGGATAGGGTGTCCGTCCATTGCAGGTCACATACACACACACACTGAGACACACACAAACACTGCCTACCATAACAGTAAGACGGTTACACATCAGTGGCACTCAAGTCCACGTATGCATGGAATCTTGGTGAGCACTTGAGTGCATTTTTTCTGTCTTGACCTCGACTCACACACTTATGACTCAGAAAACCAGCCCGAGTCCATAGCCTGTGTCTGCAGCCTGTATTCAGCTGTGCCCCTCCCCCCCATTTCATATATTAAATATTAACTTCAATGTTTTTCAACATTGTGCACCCACCCACGCAGTGGTGTCCTCCTCATGTCTGGCTGCCGAACCAATTCTGCATGTTCAGCTGGATACTGGTGCTATCTGATGTAAATGTAACTTACATTTAACTTATATAAACGTAAACTTTGAAGTATTTGTTTATTCTTCAATTTATAGGTTTTGAATTCAGATTTATGGTCTAGAATTAAACTTGAGTTTTCTGGATTTGGACTTGGCTACCTGGCTCTGGTAACGAACTCCGGCTTATCTGGGACTCACCCCCTGTTTGGCTCAGTCTTGACTCTGATTCAGTTTGTTGAAGGTATGGTGTTGACATACTGTGTTCTTTGCAAACATTCTCTAACTTAATTATAGTTATTGTGCTCGCTTATACATCTTACCTAGATGTGGAGATGAACTGTAACATTAACAATAACTAGGCGTATTTGTGTGCACTAAATGGGTACTATAGCACTTTGGAAAGGGAAAGGCGTCACTGTGAGTCACATACTCATGTATCTGGCCATGAAGCTGAAAAGATGGAGGCAGTTGCTGAGGATTGGGGCTCACTTCTGCTCCTCTTCTACAGTAGATCAACTGTAACTTTACTTCATGTTTACCTCATGTTTTTTTGCTGCTGCGTTCAGTTGATGACATTTCAGTATGTGGTCTGTAGACGGTTTTGTATGATAGTAGATTGGAGCTGGTTTGAAACATTTCAACTATATTTGTCTCAGTCTAAAAAATAATAATAATTATGATTGTTGTCAACATCGTTCTACAATAGATGGATATTTTATGCTCTCAATTTGAGCATAGCTAATGTGCTAACTAGTATTTTTAAAAGCTGAACACAGCACTGTGTTTTGAAGAGCACTGATTCATTGGCTGATCTGAATTTGGGCCGTGTGCACTCTCCGTGGGGGGGTGGGGGGAGGTCAGCGGTCCGGCCTACTGTGCCAACTGAATCATGGCTACCAACTGAAATATTTCTGTATGGAAAGTTCTATATATGGAATTTTCACAGCATGGCCATAAGCACGGTTTAGTCCCCGTGGACCTTATCACCTGTGCCTCTTACTGGTTCCCTATGTAAGAGCTCATTGCAAATGGATATAGTCCCTGTAAATGAAGCAGTAAGTCAGCCTTGTGGTAGTGAGGTCATGCACACATTGTGCCTGTTTAATTCCCACCTGAAATGTGGCACTTCGGTGTTCAGCAGCCATTCACTCACTGTGCAGGAGACCTTTTCCATTAATGTGCTGAACATGCATGGCAAGGACGATCCCGCGCCTCCTTTGCAGCCGTCCTCCATACACCCCCATCACTCACTGTCAACTGCCATTACTGACGTCTGCAGTACTGACAGCTGCTGTTATTGACGCCTGCAATACTGACGACTGACAGTACTGTCGACTGCCATTACTGATGCCTGCAGTACCGACAGCTGCTGTTATTGACGCCTGCAATACTGATGACTGACAGTACTGTCGACTGCCATTACTGATGCCTGCAGTACCGACAGCTGCTGTTATTGACGCCTGCAATACTGATGACTGACAGTACTGTCGACTGCCATTACTGATGCCTGCAGTACCGACAGCTGCTGTTATTGACGCCTGCAATACTGATGACTGACAGTACTGTCGACTGCCATTACTGACGCCTGCAGTACCGACAGCTGCCATTATAGACGAGTTTGCGTAGGATTTCAGAATGTGCCGGAAAGTGAATGTGTGGGAATGACTGATCCACCGTGCCTCCAGTCTCTCAGACAGGTCCCCGTTTATGCAGTTAAATCCCAGCCCTTTTCTCTGCTTTTTAGAAGCGTAAAGTGTGTCAGTACAAGTCCGGATTAGTAGCTGCTTTGAATGGCATTAAAAGGCTCAGAGGGGCTGGTGGTTCTGCTGCTGGACACTGGCAGGGCTGCACAGGCTCCTGTACAGACGTCCACCGCCTTCTTGCAGCGCTTTAATCAGCCAGTGGCTGCACAGTGTACACTTGTTCTCTGTCTCTCTGGACGGTGATCAGTAGAATGAGAGCAGCTCTGCATTCCTGGCTTCCTGGCCTAAAGGTTAATTGTCTACAGCAGCTGATTTGGACCAGGTGACTGAAAGAGGGAACTGGTTCTGCCTGCATCTGTAATATCGAACCTCTCTGAGAGGAGGACGTGACTCTGTTCTACTCTGTCACTTCCTCTGAATTGTCTCACATCGTCCTTCTTAAAATATGGTATCAGTTTTGCAGGGTTAAGTTTACAGGGGTAAGTAATAAAAATAAAATAAAAGTTTGAAGTATAGAATATGCATGCCAAGACATTTTGTACAATTCTATGTTTCCAACCTTGTGGGAACAGTTTGGGGGAATAGCCCTTTTCTGTTCCAGCATGACTGCCCCAGTGCACAAAAGAGAAGAGATGTTGCTTTTATAGCAACATATGTCTCTCTAAAATCCTAATATACCTCTCAGAGTCAATGGTACCTTCACATGCATGCAGCTCACCCATGTCCTGGGCACTGATGCACCCCTATACCATCACTGATGTTGGCTTTTGCATCTTTCACTGAGAGCAATTTGGATGGTCGGTTTTATCTGTGGCACAGACAGCTCAACGCCTGATTTTTCCGAAAACAAGCTTAAATGTGGACTCATCTGACCACAGCACATGGTTCTTTCGGTCCATCAGAGATTATCTTGGTCCCACAGAACTTCCCGGCATTTCTGCATATAGTTAATGTACGGCTTCCTCCTTGCGTAATTTCTGGATGCAGCGACGGACTGTGTCAAGTGACAATGGGTTTTCCGAAGCACTCCCGAAACCAATTGGCTATATTTCTCTGAATGGCATAATGGTATCTTAGGCGGTGCCGCCTGAGGGCCTCAATCTTTTCACAATATTACGCACTGTAGATGTTGCAAGACCTAAATTGTCTGAATTTTCCTTTATTGCAAAGACTGAGCCTTTGATGGATGCTACTTTTATGCCAGTTGTACTGACCAACTGAATTGTATTTTGGAAATATACTCAAAGTTAGAATTTGATTGCTGCAACACACCGTGGTGGACAATAACAAAGTAAATGTTAACAAAGTTAAGTGTACTTAAGTAACATTTTCACGTATCTCTACTTTACTAAAGTATTTCTATTTGGAGATACTTCTTACTTTAACTCCACTATATTTCCAAGTCAAATATCTTACATTTTACTCCACTACATTATGCGAAATCTGTCATCCATTTTAACTGATGAGTGGATAAAAATATGCCTCTGTCCCAACTTTTCTTGAGTGTGTTGCAGCCATCAAACTTTGCGTATGTTTACAAAGTACAATTAAGTTGGTCAGTGAAACTGTTGAAAATCTTCAATCTTCTCTGCTAAATAAATGGGTCATGTGAATTAACATATCACTGATTTTTGATTTTATTGCATTTTAGAAATTATCCAAACTTTTCTGGAAATGGAGTCTGTAGAGTGGAGATTGCGAGCCAGGCCTTCACATCCAGCATCAGTGCCTGACCTCACAAATGCTCCTCTGGATAAATGGGCAAAAATTCCCATAGACACCAAAATCTTATGGAAAACCTTCCCAGAAGAGTGCC